GTTATAGGCAGTTGGGAGCTGCCATGAGGGTGCTGGGTCATCTGGAGTTGAACCTTGGTCCTCTGGAAGAGCAGCAAGCACTCTTAACTGCTGAGACATCTCTCCAGCACACACACACACACACACACACACACACACACACACACACACACACACACACACACACACAGGTATGTATGTATGTATGTATGTATGTATGTATGTATGTATATTAATGGTGAGCCATATAATATATGTGGAAAAGGCTTATTTGCTGTGACTGTTGATAACTTTGTGGGGAGATCAAGAGCCACAGAAGTTGATCTCCTACAGGGAAGGTCTTGGAATATTGTGATTCACTGACATGATAAGATGAAGAAAATAGTTCAAAGGAAACTGGACTGAAGAATTCTCTGACGTACTGCCAGAACTTTCCCAAACAGAATCTCATGTTGAATAGAAAGAGACAGGTACCCACACATCAGTCTGCTTGGTGTAATGAAGTTAGGTAGAGACTGTGATGAAAGCTTGGATTTGGCTTCAAGCCTACCTGTGCTCTAGGCTTGATTATTTATTAGCAGTGTGGAACTACACTAGTCGTCATTTAACTTCTTCAAGTCTCACAATCCACACTTGTAAGAATGGAGTGACTGAAGCATTGTAGAGATGAAATCAAGTAATCCTCACATATATTGCTTAGTAAAGATTCTGAGGAATTATAATTCTTCAACATATATTGGTCATCATTGAATTTGCCTACCTAACTAGTACTTCTGAATCTGGATGCAGATCAATGTTGTGTAGAACAGTTCAGAAGCCTGGGTGACTGGGCTAAGCCAAGAGGTTCTGGTGGTTCTGGTATGGGTGCTATGGGTGATTCTGATGGGCAGCCTTGCAGTTTTGATTAGATGAGACAACCTTGTCCATCTTTCAAGGCTACCCAAGGCATCTCCCCAAGTCAGATTCAATGTGAGCCACTCTGAAGTCATGGGCTAGGAGGAGGCTCCTCAAGCAGCATTTGGAACCAGAGCCTTTCCAGTCTAACACAGTGTAGATCACCCACTGAGAAATCTTAGCTACAGCTAGTTCTATGCTTCCTTTTCTGTCTCCTTCATCCCATCATAAAGTGTTTAGTATTGTTTAATGCACACTATTCAGTGACACACTTTTAATGACTTTTCTCTATACAGTACATTCTTGAGATCTTGGTGTGATACTAGGTGACAGATGATTAATGCCTTGATTCAAAACCATCATGGAACACTCAGAACTTGTTCACTAACCAAACCAAGATCAACTGATGAGAAACGAGAAGAAACTGTCTGGAAGGGTCTAGGGTGGTCCCTTGTGCATGGCTCCTTATTCTAACCTCTTTTTCATCCTCAGCCTTCACAAGACAGGGAGGAAAGGGGTAGAACATGAAATATCTAGAAAGATACAGGTGGCATTTAGTTGGGAGAAACATAGTGGATCTAATGACATAGTGAAGCATGCACAGCATGACTGCCTCATGTGCCGGAGCACTGTCACTATATCTGTCTGATGGAAATGAACTCTTTCCAATGAAAGGCGATCTGGACAGATTGAAAGCAAGCCTAGTTAGAATCCAAGGAGTGGCCTTCATCTTCTGGGCCAGGGTGAGTCCTGAAAGTCTCCTGAGCACAGGGTGAGGGGAAGGTCATTGTGATCAAATGTGCTAGATAGTAGGGTAATGATAGCTGGACCACAACAGACTACAAGTCAGAGCCACTAACTGCAAGGAACTGTGATACAGAGGAACAAGGACAGAAAGCTGGGCAGTGACGTATTTGTTATATAGAAGAAAGGGGAGAATCAATAGGCTTAGAGGGTTGCTAGTTAAGGCACAGCAGAGTGCTGTATGAAGAAACAAATGTGACCACAATGTCCTGCATGATTCACTCTTCCCTGGTTTCTCTACTGTCCCAGATTATAATCAAGATTGAAAACTCAGAGGGCCAGGCAGGCTGAGGGAGGATCTGGGCATGGGATATAAGGCGTTTTTCCTGATGTCTTTACTATGGTGACAAGGACAAACTAAGTTCTACTATAATACTAACATCAGAAAAACAGTCACAACTATGTAAGAATCATTTATGGTACCCAGCATGACTCTTGGAAGAAGACTGAAACAAAACCCAGTGGCAACTGGCACTTAACTAATGGCAATGCTTTAGTGACCAAAGGAGGGTCCTACAGCAGGAAACATTCTCCGCTCCCGTCCCTGTGCATGAATAAGATAGAATTAACTCAAAAGTTACTCTTGATCTGTTGTCATGGATCAGTTACCCCTCTTCTAGATTATTATTTTCCACTTTGAAGCAGCTGCATTTACATCTTAAAATAACCAAAGTAAACAATTCCTCTTCCTCATGTATAGTTTTAAAAATATCCTAGAGCAAAACGCTTCATTAGCATCAAGTGCATGGTTCTACCCATTAAGCTAGAGAACACTAAGTAACCAGGGGTGACTGTGGTCCCCAGAAGTGTGGCTGCTCTTCCTCAATGGGTCATGAAGAAGGATGACTGTGGTCCCCAAAAGTATAGCCACTCTGCTTGGGTGGTCTTTACTTACACAGAATGCATGAATAGCCCAGAATTTTGGATTATCAAAAATTACATTAAATTTTAATAATGTGATTTGACTAAACTCTACACTTGTTCCCTCACACTAAGATCATGTTGAGCGACACCTTTAGACAGAGTCCCAGGGTTCCAGCTCTCTGGCATGTTTAGAAAAAAGGATCTCAGGAACACATGTATATGGACTTCATTAGTCTAGATTTCCAGGAAACCACAAGTCCATATCCCGCCCTTGGATTTCATCCATGAGCGATAAACAGTGCATGAATTATAGTTCTACATTTTGCTTAAGTTGTTAGTCTGAAACATATTGTCCATTACATTGTTTAAAGTGCTCTCCACCTGTCTACTTAACTGAAATTTCTTCTTTTATAAGAAGAGCCATGATGATTTTTTTTTTGCAGAGGAAAAACAGTGTAGTCTCATCCAATGTCACAGCTACTTTTTTCCTTTGAGATTCATTTATTTTATTTTATTTGTAGAAATGTTTCTCCCCGTCTCTATCTGTGCACTATGTATGTACCTGGTGCCTGTGCAGCCAGAAGAGGGCATCAAATTCCCTGGAACTGGATTTATAGACATGTCAGTTGTCATGTAGGTTCTGGGAATCAAACCCTGGTCCTCTGGAAGAACAAGTGCTCTGGCATATCTATGTTTTAAGATTATAAAGTTGTACCATTAGGCCTGGCTATAGCTGATTTATAAACTTGGTGGTGCAGGCTGTTGTATAAGGTACTGGGGATACTGAGGCATGAAAACTATGAGTTCAATACCTGTCTGATCTGTAGAAAGAGTTCAAATAACTTATTAAGGCCCTGCCTCAAACAAAAGTAAAAGAGGACTGGGGTGTGGTTCAGTAGTAAAATACTTGCTTTGCACATGTAAGATCAAGGATTCTACCCCAGTATTTAAATAAAAAAATTAAAAGGAGTCTATTTAGTTTTTCTTTCCTCCAGCTATGAGCAAGATTAGGGGTAAGCAGTGGATAAGTGTGTATGGGTGGGTCAGCATGCATATGTGTTTAAAATGAATGATTCAGTACAAATAGCTCCTGAAAAAGTTTCAAGATCAGAATGTCAGATAGCACTAGGATATCCTTGTCATAAATCCTCATGGAATCGATTCTTAGTGTTTTTGCACCTGTTATTTTCTTATATTCCCAAAGCTTATGCTTATGTAATTGAGCATTGATTAAATTATGCTGGCATTAACTAATTATACAATCAGTGCTCATATCAAGTGGTTTTCTTTTATGATCACCTCATTCTTCAACTTTCCCTTATGAATTTGGAGGTCGATTTTATGTAAGTTTCTTTAAAAATAGTATATAGGAAGTTTAGAGATAGCTCAGAGGTTAAGAATTCTGGCTGGTTGTCTAAAGGACCCAAGCTTGATTCCCACACCCCACATAGCTACTCAAAACTATCTATAACTCCAGTCCCAGGTGATTTGATCCCCTCTTCTGTTTTCCTCGTGAACCACATATGCATAAGGTATGCAGACATACATGGAGGTAAAACACTTATAAACATGAGTAAATAAACCATAAATAACATCCAGTATATTATAACACATGATCACAAATTTTATCATATGAATAATAAACAAATATGAAAATATCGATAGGGTGCTGCACTCTAAGTCTGGAAAGGGAAGGCAGGAAACATGATTAAGCACTAAAATGGCTGAACTCTATTTGTAGTGCTATAAGGCTAAGAGCACTGGCTGCTCTTCCAGACGACCTGGGTTCAATATCCAGCAGTCACATGACAGCTCACAGCTGTCTGTAACTTCTGTTCCGGGGGATCTGATGTCCTTCTACAGACATATCTGCAGGCAAAACACCAGTGTACATAAAATAAAATAAATTAAATTTTAAGAAATAATTATAAAAGAAAGATAATACCAAAGTGGCCTTGGTGGCACACCCTTTTAGTCCCACGGTAGTCAGAAGCTGGCCATCCTGGTCTTCTCAGTAGGTTCCATGTCAGTTAGGGTTGCGTAGTGAGATTGTGTCTCAACAATGTCAAATCAAACAACAATAACAACAAAGGTCAAAAGGAAATGTGCTGGAGGGTTAGATTAATTAGATCCAGCTGTGAAGGCACAGAGGTGGGTTACTTCTTAATGTTCCAAATAGTTAATAATTCACAAGAAAAAATGTTGATTTTGACTTTTGTTTTCTGTTAATTAAATAACCAATCTTGGTTCTTTTTTTTTTTTTTTTTGCACTGACTTCGTATTTCTAAAGTTTAAACCAGGTTTGTAGAAGAAGCATGTGTGTGCTAGAATTCCAGTGGAATAAGGTAATGTCTCTGTAAAGAACTGTTTGATTGAAATTACATCTCCACAAAATGACTTTCAAGCAGTGTTTATTGCATGAAATACTCAAATCCGTCTCTCTCTTTTTTTTCTTTCAGTGTTCACCCACTGCAGTGTTGTGCTCAAGAACACATGGTGGCATTTTCGTTAGCAGCTCAACCCAGCCATTCGTCATTAACTTCCTGCTGTCTTACCGGTGAGGTCTGATTGCTCTAAAATGAGTTTGCAATGAAGATGTGGCCATGCTCTCAGCCAGGAATTGTTGTGAGCCATTCCCAAATCCCTGGGGTGAAGAACTTTAAGTAGAATTGTGTGAACATTTTGCCCGAGTTTTTTCCCCCTTTATTACTAGGCTTTAAAAGGTAAGAAGAGGAAATACAGGCGTTGGGTATTACTGAGTGAGTAAAGCAGACTTGAGTTAAGAACCCTAATACCACCAGGCATTGGTGGTGCATGCCTTTAATCCCAGCACTCAGGAGGCAGAGGCAGGCAGATCTCTGTGAGTTCGATGCCAGCCTGGTCTACAGATTGAGTTCCAGGACAGGCTCCAAAACAAGAACCCTAGTATCATCTTAAGGTGGACACAGTAGCACACACTTATTATCTTGGCTATCCAATAGCAATATGGGAGGCAGAGAAGAGACACTCCTCAGAAGTTCATGGGTCATCTAGCCTGGCATATGTAATGGTAAATCATAAGGGATCCTGCCTCAAATCAAGTGAAGGGTAAGGATCAACACACTCCTGCACACCTGTGCACACATGCGCGCACATACAAACACACACACACAGGCATGCACATACAGGTACACACACACACACAAAAGTGGGGGTGGGCTTCACAAATGTCTCTCTCACTCATGGAAGGCCTCTTGTTGGAAGTCTTTGAGGGTTTGCAATTTTTACTGCCATAATTTTCATCTATCGGAGAACATTCATTTTTCACTTTAGTGCAGAACCATAAGTGAGTGTTAACAAAGAACTCAAGAAACAAGTCTCCAAAACACCAAAGGATCCAATTAAAAAGTGGGGTACAGAACTAAATAGAGAATTCTCAATAGGGAAGTCTAAAATGGCTGAGAGACACTTAAGAAAGTAATCAACCTCTCTAGTCACCCGGGGAATGCAAATCAAAACAACGTTGATATACCTTCTTACTCCTGTCAGAATGGGTAAAATCAAAAACACCAATGACAGTTTATGCTGGAGAGGATGTGGAGAAAAAGGTACACTCCTCAAAGTATTCCACACAATAGAAGCAGGAGGCTCACTGCCAGACTCTTTTTACGAGGCTACAATTACTTTGATACCCAAGCCACACAAAGACACAACTAAGAAAGAGAACTATAGACCAATTTCCCTCATGAACATCGATGCTAAAATACTCAATAAAATACCAGCAAACCGGATTCACGAACACATCAGAAAAATCATCCACCATGATCAAGTAGGATTCATCTCAGGAATGCAGGGATGGTTCAACATTAGAAAATCTATCAATGTAATCCACCATATAAACAAACAGCGAAAGAAAAACCACATGTTCATCTCACGAGATGCTGAAAAAACCTTTGACAAAATCCAGCACCCCTTCATGATAAAGGTCCTAGAGAGATCAGGGATAACAGGAACATACCTGAATATAATAAAAGCAATATACAGTAAACCAACAGCTAACATCAAACTAAATGGAGAGAAACTCAATGCAATTCCTCTAAAATCAGGAACAAGACCAGGCTGTCCACTCTTTCCATATCTCTTCAATATTGTACTTGAAGTTCTAGCTACAGCAATAAGACAATAAAAGGAGATCAAGGGGATACAAATAGGAAAAGAAGAAGTCAAGCTTTCACTATTTACAGATGATATGATAGTTTATATAAGTGACCCAAAAAACTCCACAATTCTTCACAGACCTGGAAAGAACATTAATCAACTTTATATGGAAAAACAAAAGGCCCAGGATAGCCAAAACAACCCTATACAATGAAGGAACTTCAGGAGGTATCACCATACCTGACTTCAAGCTCTATTATAGAGCTATAGTCCTGAAAACAGCTTGGTATTGGCACAAAAATAGGCAGGTAGACTAATGAAACCGAATTGAAAACCCTGATTTTAACCCACACACCTATAAATACTTGATTTTGACAAAGAAGCTAAAACTATACAATGGAAAAAAGAAATCATCTTCAACAAATGGTGCTGGCATAACAGGGTACTGGTATGCGGAAGACTGCAGATAGATCCATGTTTATTGCCTTGTACAAAAATTAAGTCCAAATGGATCAAAGATCTCAACATAAATCCAGCCACACTGAAACTTTTAGAAGAGAAAATGGGAGATATTCTTCAAGGAGTTGGTACAGGAGACCACTTCCTGAACATAACACCAGTGGCACAGACACTGAGATCGACAATTAACAAATGGGACCTCCTGAAACTAAAAAGGTTCTGTAAGGCAAAGGACACAGTCAACAAGACAAAAAGGCAGTCCACAGAATGGGAAAAGATATTCACTAACCCCACATCTGACAGAGGGTTAATCTCCAAAATTTACAAAGAACTCAAGAAGCAAGTCTCCAAAACACCAAAGGATCCAATTAAAAGGTGGGGTACAGAACTAAACAGAGAATTCTCAATATAGGAGGCTAAAATACCCAAGAGGCACTTAAGAAAGTGCTCAACATCCTTAGCCATCAGGGAAATGCAAATCAAAACAACTTTGAGATACCATCTTACTCCTGTCAGAATGGCTAAAATCAAAAAATACCAAAGACAATTTATGCTGGAGAGGATGTGGAGAGAGGGGAACACTCCTCCACTGCTGGTGGGAGTGCCAACTCATACAGCCACTTTAGAAACAGGAAAGAACCTAAAAGATATGCATATATGCATAGTACCCAAGAGAAGAGGATGGAGACAAGATCCTCTGAATGGATGGGGAACAGGGCGAGGGGGGGGTAGTGGGACTTGGGAAGAGTAGAGGGGTAAAGAGGAAGGGAGTTGGTCATGGGGGAACAGGAAGTTGAGGGGGTGGGGGTAAAATAGGGGGAAGAGGGAATCATAGGATCGAAGACAGATCAGGCACCAGAGTGACCTCGAGTGATCTAAAGGTATAACATCAATTGGCAAGCTAAGCAATAGTGGAAGGACCACCTCGAATGCCCATTCCTGATAATGAACTTGATGTCTATAACTATCCGGGAGCCTTCATCCTGGGACTGATGGAAGCAGAGGCAAACACACAACTAAGCACTGAACTGAACCCAAGGAACCCAGTGACAGAGAGAGAGGAGTGATGAGCAAATTGGCAAGGAATGGGCTGGCAAAACCAGCAGAGACGGCTGATCTGAACAGGGGAGTGCTCTTGGACCCCAGACCGACAGTGGGGAGGCCAGAATGGGACTGATCTGGACCCCCCCAAATGTGAGTGTCAGTGAGAAGGCCTGGGCAACCTATGGGGCTCTGAGCTGTGGATCAGTGTCTATCCCTGGTATACAATCTGTCTTCATGTGCCTATGGCACAAAGAGAGATGCTCTCTCAGCCTGGACTCTTAGGGGAGTGCCTTGACCCTACCAAGAGTGAAATGATAGACTCTAGACATCCCCTATGTGGAGGGATTTGGCAATAGGGTGGGAGGGAGGGTGGAAGGGGAGTGCGGGAGGAGGGGAGGGAGAGGGAACTGGGATTGACATGTGAAACAAGCTATTTAAAATTAAAACAAAAAATGATTAAAAAAAAAAAAAAAGAAATCAGTATGGAGATTCCTCAGGAAATCAATCTACCACAAGACCCAGCAATTCCACTCTTAGGCATACATCCAAAAGAGGCAAATTCATACAACAAGGGCATCTTCTCCACTATGTTCATAGCAGCATTATTTGTAATAGCCAGAACCTGGAAGCAACCTAGATGCCCCTCAACTGAAGAGTGGATAGAGAAAATGTGGTACATTTACACAATGGAGTATTACTCAGCAGAAAAAAAAATGGAATCTTGAAATTTGCAGGTAAATGGATAGCACTGGAAGAAACCATCCTGAATAAGGTAACCCAGTCACAAAAAGACAAACTTGGTTTGTACTCACTCATATATGGATTTTTAGACATGGATCAGGATAGTGCCAGTCTGCATTTCCACTGACAGAGAGTCTGGAAAACAGGAAAGAACCTAAAAGATATACATGGTACCCAAGAGAAGAGAAAGGAGGCAAGATCCTCTGAACAGATGGGGAACACGGCGAGGGGTGGGGGGGGAGTGGGAACTGGGAAATAGAGAGGGGGAGAAGAGGAAGAGAGAGTAGGTCATGGGGGAACAGGAAGGTCAACTGGGGGGGGTAGGATAGGGGGAAGAGGGAATCATAGGATAGAATACAGATCAGGCACCAGAGCGACCTCGAGTGATCTAAAGGGATAACACCAATTGTCAAGCTAAGCAATAATGGAGAGACCACCTCGAATGACCATTCCTGATAATGAACTTGATGTCTATAACCATCCGGGAGCCTTCATCCTGTGAGTGATGGAAGCAGAGGCAAACACCCACAGTTAAACACTGAACTGAACCCAAGGAACCAAGCGACAGAGAGAGATGAACGATGAGCAAATTGGCAAAGAATGGGCTGGCAAAACCAGCAGAGACAGCTGATCTGAACAAGGGGAAGCTCTTGGAGCCTAGACTGAAAGCTGGGAGGCCAGCATGGGACTGATCCAGACCCCCTGAATGTGAGAGTCAGTGAGGAGGCCTGGGAAACCTATGGGGTCCTGAGCAGTGGATCAATGTTTATCCCTGGCATACAAGCAGACATCATGTGTCCATAACACAAAGAGGGATGCTCTCTCAGCCTGGACTCTTAGAGGAGTGCCTGGACCCTACCCTGAGTGAAAAGACAGACTCTAGATATCCCCTATGTGGAAGGAATTGGCAATAGGTTGGGAGGATAGGGGGGATGGTGGGGCTGTGCGGGAGGAGGGGAGAGAGAGGGAACTTGGATTGACATGTAAAGCAAGCTATTTAAAATTAAAATACCAAAAAATGGAGTACTATTCAGCAGAAAAAAAACAATAGAATTCTGAAATTTGCAGGTAAACAGACAGTACTAGAAGAAACCATCCTGAGTGAGGTAACTTTGGAAATCAGTATGGAGATTCCTCAGGAAAATGGGACTCAGTCTACCACAAGACCAAGCAATT